TATAGAATTTTAAGTTTACTTATTTATTGTGTAGTATAGATAATTTTAGTCATTTTTAGAATCGAAGATGAATAAGTAATTTAAATAATTTATTTCTTATTTTATACGAGGATTTTTCCTCACTTGTTCTATCTTTTATGTTTGATATCATTTATTTAGTTAATGTTAAGAAAATTAATATGATTTTAGACAGCAAGGTCACTTTTACTTAACATCTTTCAAAAATAAATCATTGAGTTACTCTCAATCAGTCAAGGTATCGAGAAGGACGTTTGTATATAATAAACAGCCAAATTTTTTTTTCTTATCGATTCATTATTTTGACGCATGAAAGTAATTTTCTGTACATTTATTAGAATACTTATTTCAAGTAATATATTATATTATCGCATTTCCTTATTTTTTTGTTTTTTGTTTTTACTATACATTTTGAAAAATACTGAGATTTTTCAATTTTAACCTTATTAAAGTACAAAATAGATCCAATTTTTTTATCAAAATCCACATTTAAGTTGAAGATTGAAACATTTTTTTAACTACTTATCATCTAAACTATACATTAAAAATAAATATAAAATCGCTCCATTCGATATCTAAAATACACTTGTTGGATAAAAATCATAAAAAAAGGTTCCATTAAAGTAAAAAAAATAGAAATGTATTGCATACTAAATACCCAATAGTTCCCAATAAGTTATTATATTTAACACGTAATATTAATAATACAGATATGAGATATTTGTTCTGAAAATATTTTAATTATTTTTAAATTTTAAATCAATTATTTTAGATGAATATAACATAGATACCTATTGTGTTTTCAAATAACCATATTTTCAATAAATTTCTCTTTCTTTTCTGAAAATCAAGGATATTAGGGTGTTCCAATTGTTTTCAGAATATCTATTTTTCGCAAATTTTGATCCCTATAATATTAATAATACCACAGCGTTAACCAAGCATAAAAATAACATATTAATAAAAACATAAATAAATTAATTAATATTAACATATTATCATGAATCATGATAAACAAAATTGACTGGTATTTTTGTACTTTGGTAATGGGACAAAAGCGTAAAAATAAATATTAATACAATAATACGATGTACAATTGGTATAACGTTGTATTTTTACTTGTACTATAAGTTTCAATTTCACTCACATTTTTGCTAAGAGTGTACATTACTTTCTAACCTCCGTTTAAAATTATTTCATTTCTTGTACAGTGACAATTTATCGTTTCAATGGACTCACAAATTATTTTAAATTCCTTTTTTAGATTAATATATTAAAGTTTTTCGAATTTTTTGAATTGTTTATTTGATTTTAATATAATTACGTTTTCAATTGTATATTTTATATACTTGGTTATTTGTAACGGCCGTTCTTTTTTTATTCATGCATATAGTTGTGATCATTTATTTATATTAATTTAGGTATTGAAAGCTACTAAAAAAAAAAAAGTTTCAATTTAAAGTATATCATTTTTTTTTATAACCTATAGTTTAAACTATTATTACAGTATAATTATACTATATTTTATAAACCGTAGACAATTAATAGGTAATACTTTACAATTATTATGCTTATATGTATATAATATATATTCATGGTACATATCATATGAGGGTATAAAATATAAAAAACATTACACACATCACATGTTTTATAGTAGGTACCTACAGTAAAAGTAATACTAAAATAAATATCTATACCCTATATGCTTAATCTTTCACTATAAAATTATATTATAAAATACTAACAAGCAGTAAAAGCAACGTTTAAATTTATTGAAAAAATGTAGTCAAATATATTGTTAAATATTTAAATACTGAAATACCAGTTTAATACACAATTGGAAAAAAAAATTTTAATTTGAAATTAGAATTCAATAAAAAAAAACGCGTGTTAAGTTGGTCGTGCATTGTAAATAATCGTATTTATAATCAATAAATACTAAAAAAATATGAAATCCGTATAATATATACCTACTATCTCTAAATAAGAAAAGAATCCCGAATTCAATTAGGTGTTAGGTATATCAATCTAATGCGACGAAAATTATATCCTACTAATCAACAATCACAGTCATGTCAAAGATTTCTATTTAGGAACTTATAAATTATTATTTATTTCATACTTGTTGTTAAATGTTTAAAGCTAATATTTTCAGTCTCCAGAAACTATTCGCGCTAAACGACTAATGATAGATAGACGATAGTGAAAAGCCCTGATGAAATATACATTAAAATAACACATTTCATTGGTTTCTTAATAGATTTTAAGGTCTAATTTAGAAAAATAGATATTCAATCATTAAATATATGATAATATCCAAACATATATCTATAGAACGTCATAATTTTATTCGTAAAAATATACAAGAATAGATATTTATCCTTCTTAATGATTATTATACCCTAAACGATCTTCAAACCTTACACAACATAGTAAATAACGTAAATTATTTGACGGCGTTTATATATTGGTTCTGATTTACTTTTATTATATTTAAATAATTAATTTCTAAATATTTAAAACAGAAATAGTTATATAACATAAAATGTAACTGTTATTCTTAGAAATGTTTTAAACATTCACATTATATTCCTATTATTAGTAGGTACATTGTGTAAGGTTCACACATTAGTAAATGTAATTTTAAATTCATTTACTCATTTGCATTCCAACAAAATTTGTCAATAACAGTGGGTATTATAGCAAAAAAAACGATTTGACAAAGATTATTACATGTGCAAAGTTCGATATATTTTTTTAACAAGTGTATAAGAGTATACCATACTACAACATTCAAAATATAACACGGCAATTATTCAAAATATATTGCCCATACATGCATAATTTTTGTCATATTCGCATTATGTTGTATACTCGTATGTTTCTACGTAAAAGTACCTACACACCGACATAACAATGACAGCATTTGACTTACAACTATTTTTTTGTGTTCCAACTTAAAACTATCATATTGTATACAGCGAAATAATATACTCTACAATATATAGGCGATATACGATTCAATATAATACTATATCCTGTTTTAAATGTTTGTTTGAACGATCTCATTCTGTATAGATAAAATAACAATTTATTTACATACAGTGTTGTAACATTTATTATTACATGATTGACAGCTATTGGCATTTGGCATTCATTTGTTTTAAATGTAACTTTGATAGTATGTCTACCTATAATTATGAATTACATAGGATATTCATAACAATATACACTATTCTGAAACATTGTGATGCAACATTCAACTATATAATGAAAAATGTCAACTATATTATTTACTTTTATAGTTAAATTCGTTTTATTAGTCGATGTTATAAGAATAGGATTAAAACGAATAATTTATTTTTTGTTATTTGTGTTATACTTTCAATAGACAATAAGTAATAAAAACATTCACTAGTCATTACTACACTTAGAATCTAATTGTCAACAAATGTTCCATGTCTGCGGAACTTTAGTTTAAAAATAAGTGTTGTTATTATAATATACCTATAGGTAAAAATTCTAAACAATAAATTTGAATTTTATGTAATTATGATGTATACTTAGGTATAGGAATACCAGAAACGCTAATAGACAAAACTTTCAGTGGTCGAAGGGTAATACTAAGCTCCAAAATTATCATTATTATAAATTAATATAAATATATTAACCTATAATAAAAAAACAAAACATTTTATTTAGTAATAATAGCAATAAGGATAACAATAATAACATAATATGTATATAGTATCATTTTTGGGTAAAAGTTTAAATACCAAATTTGGATTTACTAAGTAAATGATCTAAATTTATCCATACAGCTCCTATGACATTATACGTTTTTGTTTAATAACTTTTCACGAAAATTAATTTGAAATTTGAAAAAAAATTATCACTGTAAATGTATTTATGATTTATATTTCATAAGATTCATAAGAACTAAAAAGTGTAAGTGTAGATCATTTAAAAAAAATAATATACTGTCATGTACACATTGAATAATCCCAATTCAAAATTTTTACTGTTTTGTAAGTATAAAAAAAACGAATTGATTGAAATAACCTAGGTATGTCATTATTTTATAAAAGCTTATTGATCTATTTAAAAATTCTATTAATATTAATATATTATATAAAATATTTAATTTATACAATTTAAAAGTTATGAGTTATAATTATTATTATAGCTGCCAGCAGTTAAATAAAATTGTCCAATTTTAAAGTAATTAAATATTAGGTACCTATATTGGGCACTATCACTATCTTATTATTGTTATCCGTTGCACAACAATTATACATATTATAATAAATTTCATTTATTCTGTGGTATTATTATTTTAATAACATATTAAGAAGATGCTTCACCCGAATTTGTTGTCTCCGCCTTATAAATACGTAACACAGTAAATCTACGCTCAGTAGCTCACAATCAGCTTCGTTAGCTTTAATATTAAAGTGAATCAAAATGTTATAACACATTAACACTTAATAGTAAGAATTTTATCTGTGTAATGCGTTTATAAGTAAGTTTTTTTACGATAATTCTGTTTTTAAGCGAGCTAATAACATTTTTCGTATAAAAACAATGATATAAATATTATAAATTAAATTTTGTCTGGAGTAAATCGTACCTATACGTCAACGATTCTTAACCTGTGGACTGTGGTCCGCGGCCCCCTGGGGGTCCGTGATATTCATGTCGGGGGTCCCTGGCAGCCTAAACATAACATACGTCAATACATAACGTATTGTAAAAGAAAAGTATTCAAAAAAAATTGGTAAGGGGGTCCATGATTTCCAAAAATCTTTGATTAGGGGTCTGCGATCCACAAAAGGTTAAGAACCGCAACTCGCAAGTGATATACGTCATTATTATCAAACTACATTATATATTAAGTTGCCAACCTGTTATTTATTCTCATTTAATATCAAAAAATAATCTTTGATAGATAATGTTATCAATTTTTTTATGAACTCGCGAGTGCTGACTGCCAACTGACATTGTGTGAGTCGTGTGACAGTTTTATGGATTATTGGTGTGGCATTTAATATTTATAGTTTTATTTTAAGGTCTTGGTACAAGACACGTGTATTTACTACTTACATAATTTAAATAATAATTCAGGTATTACAGTTTAATAATATCTTTAATATTTATTTGTTCGCATGTATTAAAAAATAAAATATTATAAATAGGTGTACGTCTTATACTTACAATAAATATGCCTAAAAAAAAAACGGGACAGAGAAAGAAGGCAGAAAAGATGAGGCTTCGACAAAAAGGAATTAGATCAGCAAAGGACAACTTGTCTTTGGCTAAACACCCTTGCAATGCATCAATGGTAAATAAATTAAACTTTATTAAATTATGTTATAAAGAAAATTTTAATGATAAGTATTGTATAGTTAAAATAAAAAATGTAATATTAATAGATTATACTAAACGAAGATACATAATTTTAGTTTAATTAATTTAATTAAAGTTGTATGCTATTCATGATAATTTAAAATAATCTGTTGGTATTTATCTTATTTTAATGTTAATTTTTTTTTCTTCAAATCATTAAGATATAAAATGTATGTAAATATATTGTACTTATTGTTTTATAGTACACTTCCTTGGGTTTTATACCTCATATTTCCTAGAAATACATATTATGTACCTACAACTTTCATAAATTTCAATCATTTCATTTATATTTTATTCTATGAATTATCTTTCTTACAGTCATACGTTTTATTATTATTATAAATACATTTTGTGTTATTATTTAAGTTTCCAAAATAATCATAAAGATAAATTATTTTTATAATAAACATTATCTCAAGACCAAAATAGATTATTAACATTTTAAATTATAAAATGAATAAAGACAATATTGAATTTTTGTGTTATTTCTACTTTTTTATAATTTTATTATATTTTAGGTAGGTAGTTAATTATGCCATTTATATTTTAAAATTTTATTTAATGTATAGAAATTTTAACAAATCTCATTTAATCAACTGGTTTTACTATATGTTTTTATCTGGAATCTTTAATCAAATTTAGCTAGTATAATTATAAAAACTATCAATATAATAGATTTAAATACATTTTTTTCTTATTAATCTAAATATGTGGTTCTTAATGGATGTGTCGTGACACACTAGTGTGTTACTATTACCGTAGTGTGTGTCGTCAAAATATCACAAGTTTAAACTGTTCATTTTTGAATATAAAATTTTATGGAAAAGAACACTCATTGTAAATATTAAATACAACATTAAAATCTAAATTTTATATGTCTGAATTAAATTGATTCATTTTGGATTTCTTTGTAAATCAAATACGCCGAAGTGAGTAAAAAAATAATTGTAGATTTTGCTTCCTTTTTCAAAATCATACATGTATAAATCAACATTTTTTTAACATTAGAAATAACAAAAATGCTTAAAGATATTGAAACTGAATTACGCGTAAGTTTGTCAACCATTCGCCCATGAATCAAAGACTTATGTTCTGATGAACTAAGTTCATCAATCATAAGTATCATACTAATTTCCTTTGTATACTGTTTTTTATAGTACTTTTTTTAAATACTTTTTTTGAACCGTTTAAATTTTAATTAAGTAATTATAATTTTTTTTTTTTTATTCAAATGCTAACATATAAATGTATTCATTTACAAAGGTATATAATTTTTACTTTTTCAAAAATCCATTACTGATCATAAGTGTGTCACCATTTATGTATAACCAAATTAAGTAGGGTGCCGTCATACAAAAAAAGTTGAAAACAACTGAATTTTAAACAATATAGCTGTTATCCTAAGTCAATATTTTTTACATCTTTATTAGTATTGTTACATTAAATAGAATTTATTTTATTAGTCTAATTACTATAGTTCTGTTCACGTGAAGTTAATCCGTATGACTGCAAATATGTGGTTAAGTTTATGCAATAAATCCTCCCTTACATATGTTACTGACTATGAGAATCGGTATCAAATATCACTACACTACAAGATATTATATATGTTATGAACTATGTTATTACATCATTTTTATGATCCTATACTTTATTCAAGCTAAGTTTGAACCACTTTTACACTTAAAGATTGCAGCATGGGTTGCTATCTGACTCCCTCTAAGCTCATGTTATGCATTCTATTATTAGTTAACTCTCTTTGGCTGCAGGTGTTATTTATTGGTGTCTGTAATTATGTTTGCAGTGAGAGTTGTCTAGTGGTGATATGGTGAGTTTTTGTTGGTTGAGTGTTTCAATTTTAACCTGAATAAAGTATAGACTCAGTATACATGACTAAAAATGGGTAAATTCAACTTGAATAAAATATATATAATTATATTAAATTTAAAAATTTTAATATCAAATTTTTATTTTCAGGAATGTGACAAATGCAAGAAGTAAGTTTTACAAATAGATATTCATTTTTAATAGCATATATCTTAACACAGTGGTTCCTAACTAATTTACCATGGAAGACTAGTTTTCTACAAACTATCCCGGTATCTAGAATTTTTTATAAAATACCCAAGGAATGTTTTAAACACGAAAAAGATTGAGAACCACTGCTTTAACATATAAATATTTAAAAAAAACCTTAATGTAACTTTAACTGTGGTAAAATATATAATAATTCTTATTATTCATAAACAATATATAAGTAATCAATGCTATATGATTCTTTATTTAAAAATAATATATGGTTTATATTTTTTAATTTGTATTGAATTTAACTGTGAAACAATTAATAATTATATAGCTTTTATATCTCTCTTTCTTTCTTTTTTTTTTTATTATATTTAATGAAAATAAAAATTGTTTTTATACACTTTAATTTAATACTATATTATGATTAAAATATATCAATTAAAAATTTTAATCTTATTATTGAGTTAATTTATTTTTACTTTAGGAAACAAAAAAATCGGGCTTTTTGTTATTTTTGTCAAAATTTACAGCGTTTACCTCAGTGTGCTAGTTGTGGTAAAATAAAATGTCTTATGAAGTCAGGAGATTGTGTTGTTAAACACCCTGGTGTCTATACAACAGGAATGGGTTTAGTGGTATGAATAATATTAATACAATAGATAAAATTATTTTTATTATAATTATAAATTCAATATTTAGGGTGCAATATGTGATTTTTGTGAAGCGTGGGTATGTCATGGTCGAAAATGTCTGACAACTCATGCCTGTGTTTGTCCCCTACAAGATGCAAATTGTGCTGAATGTGAACGTGGAACATGGGATCATGGTGGTCGTATATTTATGTGCTCATATTGTTCAGCATATCTTTGTGAAGATGATCAATTTGAGCACCAAGCTTCATGTCAAGTTTTAGAATCAGAAAATTATAAATGTAATGGTTATAATTAAAATATTAAATGATTCATTAAGTGTATGCCGTACATCAGTAAGTTGTTAGTTAAAAGTTGAACTTGTTGGTATGACTAATAAAAACACCCCTACATTTTGACTATAAAAGAGGAATTTTGACAGTATGATATCATTGTTATGTATTCAGTGATACGCAAAAAAATAAAACAATATTGCACTGTAAAGTTCTCTTCTTTTTATGTTGAAAATTTGATTTCTTACCATAACTATAGCCTTTTAAGTTCTTTTTAGCAAAAAATAGGTTTTGTATGTAATTTCATTATTAAGCAACAATTACTTAAGGTATCAATTATAAATTATTTTAAATTAGTATTTAAAATTTTAAAACTCTTTGAGTTGCTTTAATTTTTATAGTGGCAATCTTAATGAATTATTTTCTTTAAATAAAATTTAAAACATTAAAACAAATGTTTATTAATTCATATTTATATTTTAAAATTAATTTCAGGTCAATCATGCAATAAATTAGGACAGTATAGTTGCTTGAGATGTAAGGTGTGTTTCTGCGATGAACACATTCGATGTAAACGTTTCAAGTATTCTGAAAAAGATAGGAATTATCCATGTCCTAAGTGTTCTTATCCAACAGCTGAAGTCAGTGATCTTTCATTATCTTGTAAGTATACTAATATCCATTTTGATTTCATTATATAATATATATATGAATACTTCAAGTTCAAATGCTTACGATATTCGATATTCACCTGTAAAATAATCTAAGTACTTTTTTCAAAAGTATTTTATATACTTATACTTGATTACTTTACAAAATTTAACCTAAATTTATTTGAACTATATCTATTAAAAAATTAATAATATTTATTCTCTTAATTATTAATTTTATAATTTGTAATATTATTATTAATTATTAATGCTTATAAATATTAATTAAGTATAAATATAAATTAATTTTTACTGTTTGTGATATTTTTTAAATGTTGTTCATAATAAAGTATTAATTTAATTTATCATGAGAAAATATAAGTTCAGCTTTAAAAAGTTATGGACCTAAATTTGTTTTTTGGGGCAAAAAGAAAGAGTTTGAGTGAGGAAGAATTATAATTTTTGAAAAAGCCTTTTTTTCTTATTTCTATTATAATACTTTTTTGAGTGCTTATTATTAAGTTTTTTTTTTTTTTTTGATAAATTAAAATGCTATTAATTCCAAACCTATTTTATGTTATCATTTATTTTTCTTTCTATTGCGTGAAACATAATATTAACTATTTTTATTTATAGCTCGTAATCACAAATATGGCCGACAAGCATATGAAGAAGGTGATGATGATGATGATTCGTATGGTTATGGAGCTGGTAGTTCTGGAGCAAACTATGGATATACTTATGATGAAGGTATTTGATTTTAAAAGATTAATGTTAACAATATTATTTATTCACAACAATAATATATTTTAAAACTTTATTTTAATAGCTGAATATAGTGATGATGATGATGACGACGATGATTATTCTTCAGAAGATGATGATGATGATGATGACGACGACGACAATAATGATGAAGATGAAGATGATGACAAAGCAAAAATAAAAAAATAAATTATTGTTATAAATCTAAATAGTATTTTTATAAAAATATATTATTTGTCAATTTATTAATTCAATCTTATTATTTTTTAATCTAATCATTTTAGATTAGATAGTCTGTGTAGTCTGTTGTCTAAGCTATGGACTATGTTTTCTTTTCACAATCACTTGACACATGAGTGTTGGATAATTTTTTTGATCAGGGTGAATTCTCCAAGTGTAATGATTTTAACTGACATATTAATTATATTTATAATATAAATTAGCCATTACTAAACAAAAATCTTATGCTGTTATAAAAACTATATTATTTCAAAGTATATTTTTTTTAATTACAATTTTTTTTTAAATATGAATCAATACATTAATTTATTATTATGTCAATAATTATTTTTAGTCTTACAATAAACCAATTATTTAGATAAATAACACTTTGAAGTTTATATTAACAATACTAAATAGTAATTTATATTAAAATCAAATAATATGATGTTAACATGATACTTTATACTTTATAGATCATAGAAAAAGATTCAACTACTATGGAATTAATAATTATTTTTGTCAGTAGTATACTAGTGTCATAGAATAATATAGTTATTCTGTGGTAGTGTAGTTTAAACTTGAAACATGCCATCATGATATTACTCATCAAAATGTTTTTACATTACCTTTATAAAGTAAAAATATAATTTGTTATGATATTAGAATATTGTATAGTGTATACTGTATACACTTCAACAGATTTTATCAGTTTGATTTTAGATTATAAGTGGAGCAATGAATATATTGATTTTACAAAAATGTGTTTTGTATGTGTGTTCAACAATTAGAATTTTATTTTTTATTTTGAGGGTGATTGTGAATAACAAACTTGATCTAGTTTAAAGAGGTCAAAATGAAAATTTCTCAGTACTTTTTATATTATCAGGAAAAAACAAAAAATTAAGGGAAAATAGGAATTTTTATTTAAAACTAATTTTCTTGTTTAAATAACTGTTTTATAATCATGGTTGCCTTAAAACATTAAATTTAATCTTTATTTAGTTTAATGTGGTCTGTAGTAGCAACAGTTGTCAAAGTAAAAAAACTTTTTAATAAATACAAATGTATTATAAATGTATCATACATATTATACTGTTTTACACAGTACCGTCAGTACCTAATTATAGCATTTGTACAAGTATAATTTATAATATTAATATTTAAAAAATGTAAGAGTGCCAATTTTCTAATAATTGTTTTTTAATATTTTATTTTATTATTAATATACATAGAAAACTTAATTATTTGAATTAATGACTAATAACTTAAATCGAAAAAACATGTGAAATATAATATACTTAGTGATAACTGATAATATAGACTGACGTACAGTTTTTTGTGTATAATGATATATTATCATTGAATTAAAATTTAATACACCTATATAAGTGTCTTACTCGATATCCTAATATTCCTAATGTACAGAAGAGCAGTAACCACTTAAAATTTGCCTACTTTTTTTTAGTAGTACATTATAGTAGATAATATTTACTATAGAACATCAATTTACATTGACAGTATTTTAATTTTCAAAAATTAAAAGTTTATAATTACTAAATATTAATTAAAATACAATACTCAGTAGTTACTTAAAAGTTTAAAATTTATAATAAATAATAATATTTAATATTTTAAATTTTAATAGTTTTTAATCTTCCACAATTTTGAACCTACAGCTGATTTTCTGGTTGATTCATTGGTTGTTGCAAACTTGCAGCAGACTGTAGGCTGCAGCGGCGCAGGTATGAAAAATAGAAAAAGCAGCGGGCTGTCTATTTCAGTTCCTGGTTATGCGAAAAACATCAGTAGGTATGAAGGTAGTAACATTTTTCCGGCCGGTCGATTAGAGTAAATAATACAAATGTATATAAATAAAAATGTTCAATAACATATTTGAGTTTAGCAGCTTAACTTGATATCCCTAATCAGATATCTAACATTGAAGCCGTATAATATATATATTATCGAATTTTTATTTTGTTTTCTGACTTACGTGCTCTGAGTTTGACTATTTGACATTTGTAATAAATGAAAATAATCAAAATACTGAACGATAGTTTTCCATTGTAATTTTTTTCAAATTTATATTTTATTGTACTCGATCTATATCAAACATCTCCCGTCTAATGGATAGCCGGCATTACATTTATTGAAGTATACATTAAAATGTTTATTTCTATTTTCGACAAATTTACAACATTGTACTTAAATGAAACGAGTGAGTATATTGAAACCATATATTTTCAAGTCCTCTGGTATTACCATCTCTAGTTTAAATCCTAATTTGTGTCTGGTGCGATTTAGGTGAAAAAAAGTCTGCAGACAGAGAGTATTCCATTGTTATTAAGCCAAGCGGAGAGACAGTTCGATGGAGATGACTCTGATTGCTTTCTGTCCAGTGATGACATGACGCCATTTAAAAAACATAACGTCTACTACAAAAGCAGATGGGCTAGGGTCTCTTCGCTCCTGTTTTGTGGGTAAGTATTTTATAAATTACAATACTAGCGATAAAATGAACATTGGTGGATTTTTATGAGTGTTTTGCAGTGTGTTTAATTTGGCTTGGAAATATACTAACTTTACTGTCAATCTAATGAGTGTATTTTATTATAATATATAAATATATGTAGGGTATATAAAATTATAAAAGCTCATATAAATACAATATTCTAAATATTTAATGGGTAAGTTATATTTATAAATTTCAAAAATAATAAGCGATTTATGAATAAATACATTTTACGTGATTTATAAATTATCTGTAAACTCAATTTATGTCACTGATTAGTGATTTTTAATAAAAAATAGTAAATTTTAAATAAAAACAGTGTACTAATTAAAACATACACTATACAGTAGTAGTAACTAGTAAATAGTAACATTTATTAAAGTAATAAACATTATTAAATCTATGATTTATGAGTAACATCATTAGAAATGCCTAAACGTAGAATAGAATAAATAGTATAGTAATATAGAAATTATTAAGTAAACTTTTCCTTGTGACTTCTAGATTTATAGATTTAACCGTTCAGGATATTAAAAAATAAATTAAATAGTATTCTAAAATACCAAAATTTGATAGCACAACCATATATTTATAATAACTTATTTCAGAATAGTTTTAAGTACTTATTTACATGTTTACTCTTAATGGTTAAAAAATAATAACAGTGTTATAATTATCGTGGTTCACTATAAACTATATATAATGGGAACCATGGACTAATATATTTATATATTATATTTAAGTACAAAATTATCAAGTATATTATCTTGGTTTGTAAAGGCCAATGAGAACAATTTATTGATTATTCGCATGTCTTATAACTCATTATACTTGTTAATTTTATTGTTATCAATATGAAAATGTTTACAAATAACTGAAGTTTGAAACATCCTAAAATCCACTTCATTAAGAACCAAAAAAATTATCTTAATTCTCAATCATTCAATTATACCACAGTTATCTATTCAAGTAGTTAACTATGAGTAATATTAAATATTAACCATGATCCATATTGTTAGATACACCATACTTAAATACTTGTATTTGTTAATTATTTGTTTGACCATTTTGAAAGTTTCAATTATTTTATTAATGTAACCTGTTAATAAAAACTCCATAAAAAATATTATTGTGTGTTATTTATTCATATTTATAAAGTTATAAAAGTAATAATATATTTAGACTTATAGTTGTTTAATTGTAATAATATTATAACTTAATGTTGTATATAATTAAACATATTGGTATTGTTAAGAAACATTTTCTTGAACTTTTCTTATCATATTTCTTTTTGAATAATAATGTATTAGATTAAATATATGTATTTAAGTAATTAAGTTCCTAAAACAAAGATAATTTAAACTCAGCTTACATGTTATGTTGTAATTTAAAAAATCAAAATAATCTGAGCACACTTAAAATAATGTTTCTTATAATAACATAATTTACACCTTCTGTTTCATTTGAATAATTTAATTGAGACAATAATTCTAAGTTTTATTAAAAATCACTGAACATGTGTTGCATGCATACTTTCAGCAATCGGCTATTTAATTGAATAATAAAATAATACAAATTTATCAACAAATATTAGGATTTTATTAAGATTGAACAAAGTATAAGTTTTGAAGAGTAAGATAGTGGTTAAGGGGCTGAAGGTTCTCAGGTTTTAATGGTTATGGTGCATCTGATATTACTGCTCTCTGGGCTTCCTTATAAATGGAATCTGTTCCTTGATATGACAGCCCACGTCCTTGCATTTTGTAGGTATCCTTGGAGTTGTTTTGATATTTGTTATTGTAAAAGAACAATCTCCAGGATGTATTTTACTCCTAATTGCCGACATTTTCCAGTGCAATTTCTTGTTGCATGAAGGTGATCCAACAATGCAGTTGCACCTGAATTGCTGACACATGCAATGAGTTTATTACCATAATATACTCTGATATTTTGTAACCCGCGACACCTCCCCACAAAAAAAAAAAGGTTTATGTCTGCAAAACAGAAAATTTTACTATTCTACTTATGTGTTTACAAAATTTTTCCATTACACTAGTATATTAACATTAATAAAAGTGTTATTAACATAATTTTTAAATCAATTAAGAAATTGTGTTAGCACAATATTTAAAAATAAAATTTTCACCTCTGCAATTAAAATATTCTTGTAAATAATATAATTAAAGTTATTACACATATATGTTACAATAATTGTAATTTATATATTTTCATTTATGATAATTAAGTATTTGAGTTTATTCAAAGGATTCTGTATTATCTCTATATATTATTTCTATAGTTATTTCTGCATAATGATTTCCATTTCAGTTGTTACATTTTATTGTTGGTCTATTATTTGGTTGAAAACTTTTATTATAAGTGTTATATTGCAAAAAATTATCATTATTTTTATAATCTGAACAATTGTTTCTATACCTATAATTTTCTCTTAGAATTGCACTCTACTTCTTCAGCTTTTGCCAATTATTTAGCTATCTCTTAGGTTTTGCATTACGCTTTTACTATCGTCTTTATAGGATTTTTAACCCTTTTATAAAAATTAATAAAGTTTGTTCTTTAATATCTCATGAATTACTTTTGCTCCTGTGTCCTCTTTATTAAGAGTACTCGTACATAATGTACGATATAATTTTTCTACTCTATGTCAATATTCATTTACATCTTCATTATTACGCATTCTAATAGAATTCAATTATATCTGCAAACTAGATGTTGTGGTTAAATCCTCAAAAGCATCTGTTAAGTAACTTTAATTTAAATCCATTTAGTTACATTTAAAAATGTTATCATTTCTAAAGCCCTACCATTTAGTCTAGTAGTAATATATTTAACTAACATTGGTGCACATTTTTCTTCAACTAAGTTAACTGTCGTCTGTCATATCACATGTATTTATAAATGGATAAATATCATCTTCTCCCGTACACAAGGGTATCAATTTAAATGTGTCCTCTAATTTCATAGTAACCATTTTTTACAACATGATCTCCTTTGGAACGTTGATGGTAGATGCACAAAATTATCCGTAACCTTACTACATATAACATATAACTTTTTTACTGTCTAAGCTTAAACTTCTATTTAAGCTGGGCTTTAAACTCAGGCTAGGGGTAGGTCTGGGGCATCCACTTGGACTTCTAATCAGGCTTCCTAAATCAATTAACTGTTGGGTCTTGTGTAATAATTCTAATTCTGAAATATCTTCAGATGTGTTTTTGACGGATTAGCTAATTCCAAAAAAAATGTACCTGGTTTTTTATTATTCATAAAATGCCTTCTTTACCCATTTACTTTGTTTTTTAATTCTTGATAATTTAATCACAATAAATATGCTCTTTAATTAACAATAATCATTCTCATAAATAATAATCTTAAAAAATATGCCTTTATAATAAATAACAATGATAATCTCAACAAAAATTATACGCAATGCTCGTCTATTCATGGACTATGATCTCGATTTATTAACGACATAAGTCATAACGAATCATTCTTAAACATAAATCATGAGACGTAAATACTTATTAATCTATTAATTATTAACTATTAAGTAATCAATACTGAATATTAACTTTTGAATTCTGATTTCTGATTCAAGTTTGTTCAGTTTGTCGACGTCGAGTTATACTCTACTAACTTCTAAACGTAGTCAGTACTGTCAGTAGTACAGTACTCAGTACTAACTACTAGAGTTGCGACTGGTGATAGTACTGATAGTAGACGAATTTTTTTTATCACAGTAACGACGATATTAATCATGGAAGAACCGGCGACGTTGATAATGCAGTGTTGTAACGCGTTTATGCCATGAATTGAACCTTGACATTCGCGCGCGTTGATAATATTGACTCGTTGTGGCCCGTTCGATGATTCGCCTGCGCTGAAGAACGAGAACGGGATCGTGCCTGTAGTTCTGTCGCTGCCGCCACGTCCTATTGCCTCTCCACCTCTCTTTCCACCCATCCTAACCACTCGTCGGTCGTCACTGCTATGCTGCGGTTCAGCGCTTGCTTCAGTGTTCAGTGACCATTTGAGTCATCTGATTTGTAGTTGAGTACGTACACGGCCGTTATTCCATCCGTATCATATCTACGTCATTCTTTGTGAACACTTTGTACGTGAACTAAAAAATAAATAAATATCTGTGACGTAAAAAACCAATTGCAATATTTTTCTCATCGTCCAATACCCATACGATCTCATATTATTATATTTTCTTTCGTGCGCTGCGTAAAACTTTGTGTTGGCCGCTGCCGTCTATAACAGGCGCAATCGCAGAATTATGTGATTGATTTTATGGATTCGCCCGCCGGTGCAGGTGTCTGTTTGGTGGAAATGAACTCGTCTTCGTCCACGACCACTTTAACCGTCAAAGAGGACATTCCGCTTTTGAACAAGCCTCGGGAAACCAACAACGTCTTCAACAGGTTTGATACAAACACCTCTCCCTGCCACCCACCTATCTAATATTGCCCGTTGTTCATACTTCATAGTGCGTAATTATAAATGATAATGATAATAATTAATATCTGTTTTCCAAATCCTTATTTTATAAATCATTCAGTTCAATTAATAAATTTTTTGTAAGTTCCTTATTTGTTGATCTCTTATTTGTATCAACCTGAATAGTTATGTTTTAAAATTATCTACATGTCAGGAAAAACGTTTATACAGTTCACAGTCCCTTATGGTTTTTACAACAATTATAAATTCTAATATTACTTATTGGCTTTGCTTTTCATCTTGGAGGTAGCTCCACTATTCAATTTTGATAATTTAGGTGTTATACTCTCACAAAAATTAGTATCTATGATAATATTTTTCTTTACCTATTTATTCTGTCTAGTCTAAGTTTATTTAAATTTATTTAATATCTAAGCCTTAAAATATACTATCTAATAATTTTTTATCGGTGTTATTAAAAACTTAAAATTAATTTTTGATTAC